GTTAGACTCTTTTTCTCCAATTGATCTTTCTGAGTTAACTTCAATAATTATAGTGTATATGGCCTCAACCAGCAGCACAGGCGCTACTGTGCTTTAAATGGCCGAAACCAAAAGCAGAGGCCCCGATAAGGCTCAGTTTACCTTTTGCTGGCGGCACATGCCCTGTTGTGCTGTAGATGGCTTCAGCAAGCAGTACAGATGCTGGTGAGGTGAAGAGGGCCTAAGCCAGCAGCACAGGCCATGGTGTGCTATAGATGTCCTCATCCAGTAGCACAGGCCCTGGTGTAATGTAGGTGGCCTCTGTCAGCGAGACAGGCCATGGAGTCGTGAAGATGGTATCAGCCAGCATCACAGGCCCTTGTATGGTGAAGCTGGACTCAGTCAGCAGCTCAGCCCCTGGTGTAATGTAAATGACCTCAGCAAGCAGCAAAGGCCCTGGTGTAGTGTAGATGGCCTAAGCATGCAGCACAAGCCCCCTTGTAAAGTAGCCCCCATCACTGGCTGGTGATGTTGCTGACATCACCAGCCAGTGTAGAGGAGAGTATTGCAGATTGCTGACATAATCAGACAGGGCAGCGGTGTGCAGCTTGCTTACATCACCATTAAGGGCACAGGAGATCGGCTTGCTGGCATCATCATTAAGGTCAGAACTGAAAACACCATAAAGGGCAGTGGATAGCGGCTAGCTGATCCCACCAGCGAGAGCACAGTTGCCTCAAGAGTCTTTATTTTGTAAGGCAAAGACTCTACAACAATCTGCAGGCTCCTCTTTACTTCACATTCCACCTCTATAGGACTATGAACGCGTGTAAATGTGGGATAGATAGCACTTACTTAGAAAAAACATTTTTAAAAAGTGCTTGGGCAGATTGTATAAAGTGCTTTGTGAAGAGAAAACGGTTTACAAAAGCCAGCACATTAATCACCTGAGTGCACAGTGAATCTTACTTCTCTTCAACCTGGTTTCATCCACATACATTATATCTACCTTCCTTCTCTTCTTCATATCAACCAGCTCTCATAGTCTCCACTTTTAAAATCCCTAGCCTCACCTCCAAAGTCCACGTCTCACTGCTTCTGAACCACCTTTCCCTTCTTTGTTTTATTTTGGCGAGCAGTAGCACAGTTTCCTCCAGGACATTTTTGGCCAGCAGCACTGG